TTTTTTGCTCCACATTTACACTGCGCTCATCCATGGAGAAGGAGGCACAGTTCTCGTGCAGAGAATATGGCGCAGGGTAAGAAGTGAGCGAAATAAGTCGAGTTTGTCATGCGCAAGCATGTGTCCACGTGTCTCGGGGTGGGGGGAAGAAATCAGGGCCTATGTCTGGTAGTGTGCTGTATTTTACTGACGCTGCTCTTGAGCATGGAGGCAGCTGGAAACACAGTGTTTGTTGTGTAAGTACGCTATTTGTACGAGCATACGTGGATGTTTTTAGACAAAACAGTGGAGCAGCTGTTTTCTACTTGGCCGAAGAACCGGTTCATATCTGCTGAAGCATCATCTGGAGCTTTTTTGATTCCAAACAGTAAACACGGTAGTAGTCCATGAACACACACTTGTATGGAAATGGGGCTGTGCCAAGAACTGAGGTCTTAATATTGAAGGACTCTGAAGTCCGCCACACTATTAGGTACACCTAATTCAAAACACTGTCAGAGGCACATCAAAAGAAAAAATCCATTTTGCAAGAACATGAAGTAGACACAAAAAATATATATAAAATGGCGGGCCGGATCTGGCCCCCAGGCCTTGAGTTGGACACGTTCCTTAGACTGTGTAATGATGTTGTTGCTAGTGTGCTTCTAGCATTCATTTCCAAAGTAATCAGGACACTTGCATGTTCACTGACGCAACCAACAAGCATTTTTGCTGCTCTGTATTTGTTGTTCAGAATATACTTCGACCCTGAGCATAACGTAATGCGTAAAAGGGAAGAGAAAAGCAATGCCAATTGCAGCTATTCCTTTGAGGGTGTTTTTATCCACGCCGATGAATAAAATCTAATCTAGTAATCTCTGTGTGTCAGATAAAGCTGGAATGTGTGCCGCAAATCCCACAGGGAACAAACAGCAGCAGCCATTTTGTTCTTAAACACTAGCCAAGTTAAATGATTGAACATGTTGCTCGTTGCTTAACATCACTGCTGTTCTGCATGTGAAAAATGTCTCAAGGTTCAATTTGTGTACCCACAACCACTGGGAATGCAGTGTTCTGAAGTGCGAGCCGCGTTTCACCTGCACAGTGTTTTCAGAGCCAAACAGCCGATTCAGATCGTGAGGCGTTGCCTGAAGGAGGCTTGGGGCTAATGCTGAAAGTAAACAAACAGTGCAACAGTCATAAACACACAGATGGGAACTGCAATCAGGGTTCTTTTCACTCTCAGTCTGTGGTGTTGCATGTCATGTTATAAATGAAACTACCCGTAGGGGTCACCAGCGTGGGTGCCCCCCACAACCACATGAGGAGCCCGTGGGCCTGTTCTAAACATACAATAGCTCACCAGTGACATTGTGATTTTCTTGGAATGTTGTGGAAGCGGGAGAATGTGAACACTGGAAGAGATTCACAGAAATATTGATATTTAGGTTACATCATTATTGTGGGCGGCCCAGTGCAAGACTGGTTAGCGCGTCGGCCTCACAGTGCAGAGGTGTTCACCAAGTTTGTATGTTCTTCCCTTGCGTGCGTGGGTTTTCTCCGGGTACTCTGGTTTCCTCCCACATTGCAAAAACGTGCATGGCAGGTTAATGGATAACTCGAAAATGTCCCCTGGTGTGAGTGTGAACGCGGATGGTTGTTTGTCTCTGTCTGCCCTGCGATTGGCTGGCAACCGGTTCAGGGTGTCCCCCGCCGACTGCCCGAAAATGGCTGGATAGGCTCTAGCACGCCCCATGACCCTTACGAGGATTGGCGGACCAGAAAATGGACGGATGATTGAGAGAAATCATTAAAATGATCAATCTTCAAAAACTGTAGTCATTCATGGCACATCAATTAACTGCAATCGAACGGATTTTTGTACGACGCTTGTAACAGGTATTTAATTGGAAAATCTTGGAATTCACTTAAAATAATCAAAGTGAACTGTGTATTTTTTTTATGCTTCACATAATTTAAAAGCTCCTAGGCAAACATTTTGACAGCCCCACATATAACATTATATGTATATTTTGATCAAATTATTAAAGGTATTTTGATCAATTTGTTGTTTCAAACGGGTTACCCTTCGCATAAATCAGTAACCAAGAAGTATGTCTCAGTTTTCAAAAGGTTGGTGCCCTCTTCTCTTCAGGCTCTGTCGTATACTTGGGGATTTACTGGAGAATGTCTTTTTTCCAACAGTGCAAAGAATCTTGACATTCAGTGGGAAATTCTGTCCAAAGTTAAGATGAGGGCAAGGCACAGCTTCTTTGAATGCCTGACATATTTTGAGGGCTACTTGAACAATCATTTGTCGGTACTCATCCAATGAAGATGGTTTTCAATTGGGACAAATTCTCCTCAACATATCAAGATATAGTTTGGCCTGTCGAGGGTTGAAATAAAGTCTAATGTAGAATGGAAGAGAACATTGAGGGTGTGTATGTTTGAGTTGTGTTTCTTGATAGAAATGTTTGACTTGAATGTTTGACCTGGTTCTCTGTTTTGATTGTCATGTGAGATGGTGGTTTTTACCTTTCGTCTTTTCCATCATTGTTTGTGTTCATTAAAACAAGTCGGAAGGGTATTAACATGACGGAACAAGACCGATCCATGAGCACCACAGTGGGCCTTCTGTTGACGACCGTTCCATTCCTGCGGCAACATAACCTGAATATGGAAGTCAAAATGCGCTAATCGATGCTGATGCAGTAATAGCCAAAACTGCACTAAATACTAGTACGGACAACACTGTTAGACCTCACATCCAAAACAATCAAATGAATGACTATGGCCGTCGTTTCGGCCCTGTTCCTGCTCGTGCGTGCCATGACGTATTCTTAACGCCACCGTGCAAACTACCGGTAGTTCAATACGAGGCATTCATAACCATGAAACCTGATACATTTTGTCTGTGTCGTAACCAGATGACCCCCTTCATAGTACAGTCGTCAAACTGCTAAAAGGAAATGTTAAATTCCCAATCTGGCACTTCACTCCGCTCCCAAAGTATTGGTTCAAGTTCCTCAACTTGCATACCAAATTAGTAGTATTGTAGTTAGTCTTGAATCCTGCTTTCTAACTAACACGTAGTGGATGTAATAAATATCTGAAACCTGCCACTGGTGACTCAATGCGATTTTGCTCCTGGAGAAACTGAGCGAAGCGTTTCGAAATGCAAGAGTCAGTGCTTATGAAATGAGAGCCGGTGTGCGGGGTGGGGTTGGTGTACAGCTGAGACACTATTACAAAATGTGCGGATCAAGTGATACAGAACAGGGACACGTGGATCAGCTCGCCGTGAATAGAATGTCCACTGAGCTGCGAACTACAAACACGCACACGCCTTATGAAACTCGAACACCACTACTCTTCATGGGTTTTTGAGAAAGGCAAAGGAAAGCCCTGGAGGATGGCTGATGAAAGAAGATACAGGCAAAGAGAAAGCGAGGGCCCAAAATATATCCGTAAACAAGTGTGCTATTCTTTCTACGGTATTTGATACGTTTTTTTTTTAATAGATTTAAGTGAATGCTTTGTGACAAGAGCAAAAATTCACACCAGCGTAGTAGTTTCAACAGCAGTCTGGAGTTTTTTGAATCCGAAAGTGACCCAAAAGAGGACGTCTATGTCTCGATCAATGGTTCCCAACTTGCTTTGGCTTGTTTAGCCCAGAACTATAATTTTTAGGAATTTTTCATTTTGTTCAAATGAAACCAAATGTAATAATGCCTTGAAAATAAGTCACAGAAACACAAACATGTAAAGAAAAAAAACTGCCTTTGCTATTCGTGAGCCATATAACATTTTCCTGAAAAAGCTGGCGCTCCTTTGAATAAGACCCGCTTTTCAACATTTAAATTTTAACATCAGGAAGAAAACACTTAAGAAAACTAATCGGACCCACTGTGGCAGCTTTTCTTTCTTTTCATCACTCATTTCAGCTTTACTTCGGCACTTGAGTTAACAGTGGCTGGGCCACAGGTTATTGATCTTAGAAATGACACAGGTCAACCATGTTTTTGAATCAGAGATGAAAATAAACTTTTCTTGATGATTTTTTTGACAGTGATTATGAATTTGCCCTCGTTTTTTCATGAGCACATCAGATTTTCATCATAATAGGTAATATACTAATATATTTAGTCATATTTATGAGTGAGGGGTTAGGTTCAGCATGGTAGAATTTTTCATTCAACGTCCTAGCTCTAAATTACAACACAAGGTAAAATCCGTATTGCGCAAGGCCAAACTTCAATACAAAATAATTTAAGGATTTCAAAAGATTTCTATTCTACATCAGCGTCAAAAATACATTTTGGAACACAGAAAGCCATCTCCAATTGAAATGTATTAAACCATGCACCATTCTTTGGGAAACGCTGGTCTAGGTAAACCCCGATTTAAAATAATAAGTGTCATTTTGCTCAAACCTTGGGAGTTATTTTTAACCCTTGAGCATTCAAGCTGACATAGGACAAAATTGCAAGTTTTCCTCCTGACCTGTTTACCTTAAACCATCTTCAAGCCGAAAAATAAAGCAACGATCTTGAATAAATTTTGCTCAAAACTCAGCAGGCAGTTTAGCACAAAAATGACTTTTGTGTGTATATGTGTTAAACACACAAAAAAATACACATGCACACCAAATATAGACACAGCCATTCACAATAGCCCTGATATATTGCTTGTATATTTTATTTTATGCACTGTACATGTAAAAAAAAAAAAAAAAGGAAAAAAAAAGTAGCCAAGAACATTGACCAATATGGGCAACAGTTGATAGCCATGTTGCACATACATGGGACACATTTCCCCTCTCAGACATACATACATTTAGAATCTTGTGTAAGGCTGCCAGGAAAACTAGCCGGGCTTGATGGCAGTCAACGCAGAGAGCATCATCACAATGGTGGTCGTCTGCTCCCATTAAAAAAAAAAAAAATAAAAAAATACTTCCCTCGTTGGCAATCAATGAGCCATTTTTCTGCTGATCATAGCTAAGCTTTTGGAGCCAGGCGGATATTAGAAGGCCTGTGTGCAGTTTTTTTTTTTTTTGACTGTGCTTAACAGCAGCCGTTTCTGCTTTACTCTGGCCCCTCCCTTATTCAAACAGTGCTGCTTTCAACACTACGAGAAGTTGAATTCACAGTATTCTTACAGCATGTTATTCTTCCGAACGTCAATCATAAAGCTTTAAGTGATACTGCATAGGGAGTGTCGACACATATTTGACCCATGTCTGTCCAGTGGAAATGTCACGTGGGATTTTTGTAGTGTGTGGTCGATGAGCGGACAATACAGTGTACACAACCATCCAAAACAGGGGGGAAAAATGTAGACAAGACTAAACTTAAAAGATTTTTTTTTTCCTATCTCCAAGGCCATGGATAGTCAACCACAAATATTTTTATAACGCCCCTGCTGCCTATCAGGGCTGTTTCTCACAATAGTGTTTCAGAGAGTGAGCTTACAGCAGGCCACCAAGGTACAGATAAAGTGCTTTTTTTTCTTAATGCTTTAAATAATTACAAGTGATGGAAAACATTGTCACAAAAAAGGAGGGGGTTGACACATCTAAAGTTGAAAATGAAATGTAAGGGTGACGTACAATGGATGACGATCAGTATAAACATGCACTAATCCAAGTAATGTCGGATGGAACACTGGTCACTCAAGAGTAGGAACAGTTACTACTGTCACTGGATGGAGCTGTTCACATTTTGGAGATGTGAGATTATTAAAAAAAAAAAAAAAAAAAAAAAGCGTAAGACTTTTTGAACCCTTCCGTTAAATGTCCTTGTAGAAACGGTGGGTAGCGGCGCTCGCAGTGAGTCATGCCAGCAGCACACTGGGATGTTTTTCCAGATAGATAGACGGATTGTGAAAATATAGCAATAAATACATTCTGGTTCTTGTTATGTCGCTCGCTGTTGCGTTCTATCGAAATATGATTGGAGGTACAAAATCCCCCCACCCCAGAAACAAAACAGGAATAGTCCCAGCAGACCATGCGGCGAATGGCCCTTTACGTTTGCTCCCACATCCTAAACTATCCTCCACCTTGGCTGCCATTTTACAACAGCCTTGTGAAAAAGAAACGAAAGAAGGGGAGTGGGGGCAACAGCATATAAATAGTCGCCGAGGCAACCGCACATACTCCCTCCTGGGTCTTGATGACAGGGTCTGAGAATTCACGAGATCTCCCTTCAGCGGCCAGCTTCCTGCACAAGAAAGAGCACAAAGTAAAGACAATGAGCAAATAACCAAAGTTTTATTCTTTCTTTTGTTGGAAGTTTCAACACAGATGTGAAACCTCGATCGACAACCATCTTGCCTTTTGGCACAACGAAATAAGTATACAATTTAAATGCTTGTTTTGTCTAACAGGAAGAACAACGATATTCCACAGAGATATGCAAAGTTTGTTCTGTTTTTTTTTTTTTTTAAACAGTACTTATATAGTTAAAAAAGGAAATGAAATACCGGTATATATTATTATGTATTTTTGCAACATAGGTATGATGTGGCGATAGTCAATGTGTTGTGCAATTCACATTACTCATGATGGCTACAGGTTGCATTCTTCAGCAATGTGTAAGTCGCAGTTGGGTGTGAAAGTTTAAAAAAATAAATAAATGGCAGCATTGGCTCTCCCTTGGATCAACTCACCGTGTGTCACAACAATGTGTAAGGTAAAAATGGCAGACCATTGGAAATGCGACTGTTACAAGAAGCTTGTGATTGATCAAAATGTTTGTTATGTTAAATCTACACAGACTGTCAACAACCAACCAAAATCCAAAACCCTTATGAGAGAGAGAGAGAGAGAGAGAGAGAGAGAGAGAGAGAGAGAGAGAGAGAGCAGATCCGAGCAGTAAGACTCGTAAATTGATGCTAAAGTTTTTGGTCTGATGCTATTGAATATTTTTAGAAGCATTTATTCTATTGATTATTCCATCAATTAATCAAATAATTTGCATTAAAGTGTGTTACAAACAATATATTCCTTTCCGATTACTGTTCATCAACCAATTATTTCTATTTTATGTTTAGTTAAAAAAAAGTGTATATACATATATATATATATATATATACACACACACACACACACACACACCAAAAAAAGAACTAAAGAATCAAACAAAATGACAACAGAGGGATTGATGTCATACTCAGCAACCTTTTTGAAACTGATAGCTTAACTGGTTCGGTCATTGTTTTCCCAAGTAAAAGCAGATTTTTTTTTTCTCCCATGTCTTATTTTGATTAAACACAAAGGCGAGTTGTCTGCTTTTACGAAGGACGACAGATGTGAATGAATAATTAAAGTTGAGAGGCTCAAATCAGAGCATTTGGGCAATTCTTAGTTGAACAATGGCTCTAAATCAGAGGTGCCCAAGTCTGGTCCTCAAGAGCCCCTATCCAGCCTGTTTTAGATATCACCTTCCTCCAACACACCTGCCGGATTACGATCCTGATCATTTGAATCAGGGAGACATCTAAAACAGGCTGGGTAAGAGCTCTTGAGGACCAGACTTGGTCACCCCTGCTCAAAATGATGACTCCATTATGAACCCTTTCAGGGACAGCGGTTACTACAGTGGACGGCTTATCATGTTACAGGTTGTCGTTATTGGTGCATGAAAGGGTTATGATAGTTGTTGATTAGTATAATAATCAATTCGTTGTCGATTCATCGATGCATTTTGACTCCTCTATTATAAAACAAAACAAAAACGGTTTGCCAATAGCCGATGAGAAACAAAAGACTCCAGCCTATTCAAATGGGAGTGTCACTGTCCAGTACTTCCCTACATGTTATTCAGAGATGATGCAACATACAGCCAGGCGTTGACCATCATTAGTCGAAGGGTCAGCTGCTGTATATAGTTCGTGGCAAGCATTAGCAGCCAAATGCACAGTTGCCATCAAAAGAAGAGTGCTTTTTATTGTCTTCTTATTATAAAGAGTACTATTTAAACTTTAACCTTCAAGTCTCGTTTTGAAATTTCACACTTGAAACTAAAACAATCCGATTAAAAGGTGCATCTGCACAACTTCAATATGTTATATTGTCTTTTGTATTAATAATAGTAGTTAACTTTTTTTTTTTTTTTTAATCCTGGCATGGCTCATGAGAATTCCAAGTTACTGATGAAAACACACCATCAGTTTGTTTCTTCCATGGAGAATTTGACTCAGGAATGAATCAATTTGGTTACAATAAAGGGTCAACACTTTTATTTAAACTATTTTTTTCAGAAGAGATGCAAGTTTACTCATTCTTTGCACTGATTCCGAATCTGTAGAGATCAGGTTTTCATAATATTATGAAAACAAAAAAATATATATCATATGTACTTAAGCAGAGGTGCCCAACCAGTGGGTCGTGATCGACCAGGAGCTCGCGGAATGGTCCGAAGTCGATCACGAGGGGTGTGTGTGTGGGGGAACCAACCCAAAAAATGTGTGTGTCTGTGTGCATGTTATTAATATGATATTTTTTTTGTGTTAGTGCACACTGCACCCTTAGCATCCTATGAGTCTCGCGTTCACGAAAAGTATTCAAAAAAATAAAACAAAATAAAAAAGCAGGTCACCTTTAACCTACGGTGGCGCATGACCTGCATCACCGGAGGTTATTAGCTGTCAGCAGTCTGCAATTGCAGCTTGTGATCAGAGCTGTTGCGCTCTCTCTTCTATCGTTATTATTCTTTTCATTCAGTTTGTTTCATGTACAATTCACCGAGGGTACTGGCAAAGAATGGGAATCTGGAGGGCCGAGAGAAGCATCTTTAAATGGTACACGTGAGCTACGATAGTTAACACCCTGCAAAAGTGCATCCCATAACTCCGCGTCAGGTCTCGACAAAGGTAGGCAGTGATTTCCTTTTCACAAACCCACAAACTCTTGTGCCTACTTTATTTTTCGGTCTCTTTCATCTTAGGGGCCGTGATGGCTGTTGCTCATCATGGCATGCGTGTGCGGTAACGGGTCGATCGCGGGAGGTGGGGTTGATCGTAAAGTAGATCGCCGGTCAAAAAAGGTTAGGCACCCCTGTACTTGAGTAATTTATTCAGTAATACTTATGAATGAATAGTTAGGTTCAGCAACAGGTAGAATATATATATATATATTTTTTTTAAACGTCAGCTCGTGAACCCAACGATCGTGGCTAGTTATGCTCTTCCCACTTCGATGTCAACCACAGGCATATAAAAACTGTTTTGGTCATTAAGAAACGCGAGTTCACTGACTATTGCCTCCGTAATCCATCATAGCTGCAACAAAGAGGACATTGTGTTACAAGGTTGCATCAAACACACCGTAACATGTGTGCTAACTCCGGCTAGCTTCCAGGCACGATTGTCATTACGTCAGAATTTTTTTTCTATTTGTTTTTGCGCTCTACAGTTTTACTTATACAATATTGCACTGTGTGAAATTTATTGACCATTTAAGATCTTTAATTTGTGAGAGCACTAAGTGTCATAAAAAAAGTTCTGATTTAGTTTATTGACTTGTAAATGTAATTTGTTTGCATTATTATTTTGTCCTGCACTAATGGTATGAGATTTGAATGTGCTCTTGTTTTCTTCATGCACTTCTTAGGTATTGGAGTTCAGGAGTATTAGCAGATCATCCAAATCGGGTAAATCGGACTCGCATGCAAAAAATGTGATCTGACATCCCTGCAACATACACATGCTTGTCCACTTTTAGACAAAAGTCAGTTCTTTGAGCAAATTGATTTGACTTTGGCAAAATACCTCATAGCTGGCATTGGCACAAAGATGAATCAAGAGCAAAAACCAGTGAGTTCCTTTTGAAAGAATTGTAATCTTCAATCACAATAGGAAGATTTCATCTGCTAATTAATTTACATGTTTCGTTTTGCTTGAAACATCTCACATGGATTTTCATGAAAAGGCCAGTGACTCAAGACTCCATTTTCCAGATCTTGAAATAAGTACATTTCCAAAGACTGACGTAATAGTCGTTCATAAAAAAATAATGATTAAAAAAAAAAAAAACAGCGGAATATCTCTAAAAACCCTGAATAATTAATGAAAAATTCTGGCATGACTTAATGCACAAAACACCAGCCTTTTGTCAGCGTGTCAACTAACCTATGTGTCGCAGTGAGAAAGTAGTGACGTAATCTCTGGGCTCATGTGTCCAACAGCCTTGGCTGCCTCCAAGATGGCTCTCCGGTACATCCCTTTCTTTTTGCGGTTGAAACGGGACCTGAAGAGCTCTCTGAACGGTGAAAGTTTGGCAACAGAGAGCTGAGATGTGGTAGGGGAACCAAACCATGCCACTTTTGCCTGGGGCCACTGGGCCTCGCATGTGGCAGTCTCCTCTTTTCGGGTGCCGCTGATGCTGAGGACACGTGCCGGCCACCAGGGGAAGCCATGGATTTTTCCCCACACAATGTCTCCCACCGCCACAGCGTGACCTTCTTCGGTCACACATTTTGTCATGCTGCGAGTGTGTAGACGCACAGTGAGCGGGGGCACTGTCTTGCAATCGTCCCGTGAAGGTAATGAAGATGAGGTTACAGAGAGGTCTTCGCCAGGTGCTAAATCACAGAGCTCTGGTGACGTACCATCAGAGCTGAAGGACTTGGACTCGTCTAGGCTGTCGCTGCTGCAAACTGACAGGCTGGACGAATCTGCTTTTCGTTTACGGAAATTGATGAGAAGTGTTAGGTCATTGTGGCCACGCTCCGCTTCCTCTCCAGAACTCCCTGACCACAACTCTAGAGAGTTCTTGCCTTCCCCCGAGTCCTCAGAGTGGGTGAGGCAGGGTCCTGGCGCCCGTGGACTTCGTCTTCTGGCATCTCCCACAAGTTCAGCTTCATACTCGACCATGCCCTCGTCACGTTCCCTCTGTGGGTGTCTCAGGCGGATATTTGGAGATGGTAAATCCTGACACACGGTTGTGAACGGCCTTGTCAGTTTGAGTTTGGGAATGGATACAGTGAGACCAGACCGTCGAGCGTCTAAAATGTGTCTTTGCTCCTTAGTAGGAGTGGAGGGCAGCTTGCCGTTCTCTCCCAAGCCATTATGCGCTAGCTGCTTGGGACAGAATGGTTTTACTGAACCGTGGACTCTCGAAGGGATCTTCATGACCTCTCCCTTGCCCTGTGGAGTGCTGTACGAAATCTTTATGACTGGACTGTGGGGAATAACGTCGCCTCCGGGGAATTTCTCCCCTTCAGGTTCACTCCTTTTGTCCTTCCTGAGACGTTTGCTGTCAATGCTGGTGCCATTTTCCCGTCTCTTATTGTCCTTGGCTGCGACTACATCATTTTTCTTTGAGAGCTTATTAGGTGTGTCTTTGTCATCTCCATCATTGTCACTGTGTAGTGTATTTTCTTTTCTGGAGTTCTTTGCCATCAAGCCATCTTTGCTGTCCTCATCACTATTCAAGGTGTTTTTGCACTTTTCACAAAGTACCTGCCGAGGCCGCAGACGTATGGTACTCATCGTCATGCGGCCAGGCTCTCGTGTCCGTCTCTTCTTCCTCTTTATGGGTCGGGGAGGGGGCTGTGGTACCCATTGGTTGTAGCTGTGGCGTACCCATAAAGGCTGGGGGAAGGGGGCTCCTTCAAAATAAGGAGGGTATGGCGTCTGCCCAGCTGGCACTGGTGTGGGAACTGGGCAAAGTGGAGGCGCAGCAGCTATACTGCTTTCAGGCAGAGTATTTTCATCCTTTGGTCTTTGTGATGCCTGGCTGGAAGCTATGGAATCTTGCTCCTCACCCAGAACCTCTGGTATTTCACACGTTGTTTTAGATCCAGGGAAGTCCACTGGTGTTGCTGCAAAATCTGGCAAACAGAAGAGCCCGGTCCTGAAACGAAAAAGAGGGGAGAAACATAAGAATAAACTCAATTAAGAATCTCGTGATGTATTAAAAGTAAAGTAAATTCAAACACTCCAAACACCTTTTTGAGGTTTACAGAGCAATAACATTCACAGATTAAGTTTCGTGTATTTTATTTTACCACATCAGATCCATGTGAATGCAGTGCAAATTAATACATCGGTGTTTGATCTCAACTTAAAATACAAACAGTCCAAAACCTAAAAGAGTAGTAGAGAGAGAATGAAAAGAAATTAGGAGCTGAAGTCATTATTTTAGAATAAGGAAGTTGTAATATTACTGTCATAAATATCTGCTGGACAGTTTCATAAAGAAATGGTCAATGTAATTGTCAGCTTAGCACCGTTATAAATACAGACGGTCCTCATTTTGTGATGGTACAGTGTGACAATTTCAAGGTTACGAAAAGCGTCCAAATGAACTACTTTGTGCAGCAGTATGAGAATATGTCATTTGCATCGCAAGAAGGCAGTATCCGCCATACTGTTTTGAGTTTTCACATTTTAATATTTGTGCCCTGGAGGTGTTTTTCATATTATTTACATTTTATGCCATTTCATAGTTAGCGACAGCGTGCAATGATCTATTTTGTGCAGCGTCATAAGAATACATTACCATGCTGCACAAAAAAGGCACACTCAGTTGCTGCCATCAAGCTAAAATCCGTGTTTCACACAGATATTCTCTGTAATTATATTATTGCGCATTGAACTTGGTAGATTTCTTCAGACTTTTGCATTTAGTTCCGTGAGAGAATTTTGACATTCACGTGTTGAAATTTTTTATTTATTCCCTTGAGGATAACTTTTGTTCTTGTCATATTTTACTTTTCTAACTTCATGAATGTGCTCACAACTACTCTGAATGTTACATACTGTTTTGTTAAGCGCTTTGTTACAGCTGCCGCTGTTGTGAAAGCGCTATATAAATCAGCATGTATTGTATTGTATTGTATTGCATAACAATGTGACTCTTTTCCAGTTCAGCCTGAACTCATACTTCGTAGATAGATAGATAGATAGATAGATAGATAGATAGATAGATAGATAGATAGATAGATAGACAGATAGATAGATAGACAGATAGATAGATAGAATTACATTTTTTGATTTAAAAAAAAAGAACCGAAATGGTATTAAAGCAGACTTTATTTAGGGAGATCTTTTTTTTTACTTTTGTTGTACTCTGACTGGACGAACTGTGCAACCCTTCTTTTCACCTGTACCTTGAAAATTTGCAGGGCTTGGGGACAAACGGGTACCATCAAGTTATTTTGCATCCAAGAAAAGATGTAATGTGGTGACATATTTGTGTTTATTTTCATGTATACTTGCCTAAAACTGACCAAACAGACACTTTGTGAAGGCTGCCCTGCAATAGTGTTGCTTTCATTTCATTTTCACAAGACAAAGACACTAAGGGATAACCAGGAGCCCCGATCTCCTAATCCCCAAACCTCTTGACTGCAAAAAAATAAACCCACGAATCACTTGGGATGCTGAGGTATACTCATGATGAGGAGTCAGGAGATTTGTTAATGTATTTATTTACACATTCCTGGCTACTTTGGGGTAATGCGTGTGGTGAGATTATTCATTAGTGCACATTAAGTGAGCTGGCTATCCCAGGGGAAGAGGCAGTCACCACTGAATAAAGGTCTCTTGGTGCCCCCCTAGCCCCCCCAGCCCCTTCCCCTCATTGATGTGGCACATTGGTACCACAATACTCACCTGGAAATCAACTTCACAGTATGCACACAGTGCTACTGCCTGTGACAGGCAACAGACAAGATGGGTCATGCATACCACAAGGACACAGTGTATAAAGCTCAATATGATGACATGTCATGTTGTATGCAGCATTAAGTAAAGGTCTAAAAGAAGATGACATTAAACATTCTATGTATTTTCGAATCAACAACAGGATATGTTAAGAAGCAAGAACTAAGTCAGCATATTGTGACCTTAAATTGAGGCCTATTTAAAATGAGGGAAGGGTCATGTGAAAAGCAATCTACACATAGTTTGAGAGCAACTCTGTCCCAACTGATTCTGCTCATCTATTAATAGTATAAGGTGCACAATGCTTACAAAAAGGCTGACATGTGACACACACACACACACCCAGAGCAGAGAAGACATTATTACACATTGTGACTTGCCAACAATCTATGCCTATATGGCCTTCTCATTTGAAAAGTGCTGTCTTTTAACTGACAGAAGATTCAATTTCTCAAACACAACCCAAGTTATTACTTGGACACTCGGGTTAAAAACTGTCAACACTCCGGGGTCACCTAAAATCATTATACTATTCCATCTGTAAATAGAACAAAAAGATGTTTTTTTTTAATCAACCTAGGTACAATACCTCAGTTTATATAAAAGAGGCACCACTAAGGAAAATAAGTCAAGACTGCATACAACGATGTTTTGAAACAGTACATATTTACTGAATGCCGTACAGACAGTTCGTTATTTTTACTGAATACGTAAGAGCTGATCTGTATGATTAGCGCTAACAATAAGCTATAGATGAACCCACTGACATTAGCTATTGTTCAAATAACACCATTTCCAATCTCACTAAATGGGGCACATATCTTGACATCCACGAAATACAAGTGGTGAAAGGACGCACTTATCTAATTTACCGTCAACTATTACGATAATAGAGATATTAGCTACAAGGCTAGCGCGATAGCTAGACTGTCAGCTACCATAACCCATATGCTTTTCGTATTGGGGCCCAGGCGGCTAACAAGCCTTCGTTAGTCGTTAGCATCCAAGGTGCGTTAGCCAAGTCAAATTAATTTGAACCCCAAATTATCAAAGTGAACAGAAAAGAAATGACACTCACTTCTTGTTGCAGTCAAGTAATATGCCCGTGTAGCTCCTTTCTCGGTAGGTCAGCGTCACCAATAGCGTATCGTTAACTATTTGATCGATAGTGACAGGTAGCCGAGAGCCGGCCAGCAGCTCCTCGGCCGCAGCCTCCATGTTTCCCGTGGTGAAGTGTCCGGCTCGGCGGTGCTCGATCCGGGCCAAGGGAGCCACGGTCGCGTCGGCTAAAGCTCCGTCTCCCCTTCGCTATTGAGGCAGGAGGCTACAGCAGGGCATAAAATGACGCCATCACCCCTACCGAGTCAATTACACCAATACTGCCACCGCTGACATCACACTGGCTGTGCAAGCAAGAGAAGCGAAAAGCGCTCAAGACAAGGCCTTCCCTTTCTCTGCCTCACGTTGACTTGCTCACAGTCATTATTGGCAACCTTTTACCTCGGAAATGTCTTAGGTTTTGTCGGCTTGACGAACACCACGGGATTTTTACACGATGGTTCAGGCAAAATGTATTCACATTAATTTGAAGAGAATGTATTACAGCTAACAATGTACACAGTACAACAACACCGGTAATAGCTATATTTTGCCATTGCAGTTAGGCATTTGCTGTAAAAATCTACTCTTCAATCTTTTTGCAAGATTTGATTTCAGAAAATAAATGTTGGATGAAGTCACCTCGAACTGACTCACGATTATGCCTGTTCTGACTGGATCGGAGCTAAATTTGTTTAAAATTGTGGTGCATTAGTTGGTTCGTTTTATAAATAGCACTCTGTGTTATATAAATCTGGTCACAATGATGATCATCAAATGTCACATTTATTTTAGTACGTTCATACTTACTATAGATATTAAATGAGCACACTCCTGATAGGATTATTTGTTTAAAATATTAAACTTCATTCAATAACATTACAACACTTATAAATGGATTTCTATAGTCTATTTTGAATAGAAATGTGATGCATCATAATCATTCGGATGTCTCCTGGGTTGATCGCAAAGTAATTTTCACCATGTCCAACCTGATCCAGCAATTCCCTCATCTTACATCCAGAGAAAGTCAACAAAAAGCAATATTTGATAACAATTAAATGACATCAACATGGGTTCTTGCTTATGAAAGTAGGTCAGACTGCCTTCCACATCTTCATGTGCGACTGCTGAAATGTGCACAGCAGCTGTGCCCCTCAGGTCTGTTTATTCTCAGCATTTTTTAAATTTATTTATTTTTTAACCTTAGCATGGCTGCTAGGATGAGTTTCCATTTCAGATCTGTCTTGACAGATTTGGAAGGCCGAAAAATGTCAGACACTAATGATACAATAATTATTTTTTTGTCAGTGATTCTGATTCACAGCCAGGGTGATGTGACACCCAAATGTGCGGTGTGAGATCCTCAGGTGTGCCGTGAGAAGCTATCCATCCATCCATTTTCTAATCCGCTTATCCTCACGAGGGTCGCGGGCGTGCTGGAGACGATCCTCACTGTTTTCGGGCAGTAGGTGGGATACACCCTGAACTACTTGCCAGCCAATCGCAGGGCACACATAAACGAATAAATTTGCGCTCCCAATCACACCGAGGGACAATTTAGCGCACCTGGAGAAAACCCACGCAGCCATGGGGAGAACATGCAAAATCCACACAGGAAGGCCGCAGCCAGAATCGAACTCTGCACCTCTGCACTGTGTGGCCGACGTGGTAAACAGTAGACAACCAACCATTCGTGTTCACAATCATACCTAACGACAATTTATAGTCTTCCATTAACCTGCCATGCTTGAAATGTGGGAGGAAACCGGAGTACCCGGAGAAAACCCACACAGGCATGGGGAGAACATGCAAACTCCACACAGGAAATGTTTTAACTATTGGCTAACTTATCACCTAGCTCTGTTCAACGAGATATGCCGGTTATGCGTAGTCAAAGGCAGAACACATAAAATGTTCTTCCAACTTCTCTTATACAACTAACCGGTGTATTCACCTGTTGCCATCCATCCATCCATCCTTTTTCAACATCGATTATCCTGAAGAGGGTCACGGGGAGTTGCTGGAGCCTATCCCAGCTGACTTCAGGAGGAAGGCAGAGTACAGCCTGAACTGGTCACCAGTCAGTCGCAGGGCACATATAGAGACAAATGACCATTCACACCCACACCGTCACTGAGTGGGAACCCACACTGCCCGCACACAAATCCAGTGAGTGTACCACTAACTACACCATCAGTGACTTCACCTGTTGCTGTAAAACACAATAGGTCAATCATACGAACATATCAGTTTGTGAGTAAACTGAGACAAGATCAACCTGATTTCACAATTAATTCTTTTTATGGCATTTTTGTTTAGTGGTGTGTGGCTATTTATTGGTCGGGAAACACTGCTTATGTGTTGTATCATACCCTGTTATATAGTGTGTTGGAAAGATTTCACTCATGTGACTGATTCGACCGCAGACAACATATTGTCTCTCAATGAAACTAGGATGGTTTAACATACTGGATGTGCATTATCAATCCAAAGTGGAACAAAGAAGAGTGCTGATTTTCTTCTGCAGGTGTTAAAAAGTCCACTAGGTGTCTCTGGTTTCCTGCAGACACAAAGAGACCAATGGCCTGTTAAAGGTCAATCTTTTACCATGTTACCGCGAATTGACCTTATCTCTCTAACGTCCATTTTAACTACACACTATTGCCTGACACGTGATGCTCTAGCAAATAGTTCCAACAAAGAAATATTTTAACAAACTGTATTCTTGTCCATTTTAAACAAGTGAAAGCTAACATACTGTATGCATCGTAGAAAGGGTTCCGTCAGTCGTCATCTGTACCTGTGGGTAAAAAACCCACTTTTTTACCCACAGGTACAGATGACGACTGAACCCTTTCTACGATGGAACTTTCCTGTACGACTGAGAGCCTCCACAAGCATACTGTATGCATAAAATATCCACGGCAATTATTTTTAACTAAATTATCAAATACTGTATGTAAATACAATATATGAACAGGAAAGTAATTTCATCTGTGCTGCATGTTGCACAAAGAGCATATTTGACAATAAAGCTTGACTTGATTTGGCTTGATAGCATAATACTGTATATGGAAAACACTACAAAAATTGACTGATATTAATTTGGCTGCCTCGGCTATGACTGCATTCACTAAAGTAGCAGCCCATACATTTGGTACATGGGTCTCCAGTGGGGACTTACTCAACTTGATCTACCTTTTAAGACTATCACTCTGACATTGCCATTACAATAAAACAATACTACAACACAATATAACTGCATGCAACTGTGCTGTTTACATATCTAGAACAGTTCAGAAGCAAGGTGTATCTAATAGAATGACTAAATCATAATATCTTTAGATAAAATAGGCGACATCATAATCACCGGCGACACTAATTACTAAATGTATTAATGTATGCAGATTGCGAGAGCGTTTTGCTTGTCAAAGTTGGCTGCAACAAGGTTTTTATGTTTATGATCCTCTGTCATTATCATCCTTGTAAGAATAAAAATGTTCAGCAAGGATGTTCAGACCTCTATTTTCTGCAGTACGGTAGCATTCCTATCTTCTGATGGTTGATGTTCAGTTCTGGCCAAATATGTCAAATATAGGGCTTTTCTGCCCTCTTGTGGTGCACAGTTGTCAACTTTTTTTTTTTTTTTTTTTTTACAGAGAAATGATGGATAGAAGGTATTGTGTACATTACATTTTTTTTCTTCCGTGAAGGTGCTCAAACTGGCTTTTCTTAACACTCTTTTGTTTTCAATACCCCTCAAAAGCTACCTGGCTTCTGTGAGCGAGCCAGATAAAGCACATTGTAGTGTATTGTAATGAAAGAAAAATAAATTTGACCTTCAATCATGGAAATATGATCTTGTGGATATTTAACATTCTTTGTATTAAGAGGATACAGTAATGGTGGTGACTTCAATATTGTCATAGCAGGATTAAAAGAAATCTTTAAGGATCCATAAATACTTCTTTGTCTTGAGAATAGTTTGTTTATTGTCCACTGATTTCCTCCAGACAAGACAAAAAGTGGCCCCGTTGAGAAGGGTCTTTTTTGTTCAGCCGGACATCTGACAGTCATCCGCATAGCAGTGGAAAAAATACAGTGTTTTTTTTCCAAAATGGAACAAAAAAGTAGCTGTTACAATGAAAACAACAGAAGTCCCAGAATTGAACCCCGTGGAACACCATATGACGCTAGAATATGGTTTGGTATGACCATACAACATGTTCATGTGTCTTTTAAAAATGCCCCAGTTCACCATGCCAGTTAATTACTACCTAAGACAAACTGCTTCATCGACTGTTACAATAAAATCAAACTCTTGTTTGATGTTTTTTTTTTTTTTGGTGGATTAGACTAAGAAGGAAGAAATAATCAAATAATACATATTAGCAATGATACAATTTTTCTCTTTTAACAAATGATTACAAGTGCCAGTAGATAGTAACCACAACAGCCTGCCATTATACAGCATCACAATGCTTCTACCAAAAAGTGTTACTCTATCGGTGCAGCAATGAGCATTTCTTTCACTCCATCTTCTTCACACTCTCACCCTGTTTAGGCAGATTCTGGACTCATCATTGAAAACAACATCCCTCCACTCATTCATGATCCGGTGCAGGAGTTACCAACAAATGACTAGATTACATCAAAATAAGACTCAATAGTAAAAGAAGACTTAACAGTTTTGCATAGGCAGGAAAGACTTGCCACAATAGGGCAAAGTACAGTCATGCTGTTCATCCCACAAATGTATGGTCTTTAAAATGGTGCATCATTTAAAAGGAAAATGAACAGGCTTACCATAAGTATCAAATGTGTTTCAATGAAGGGAAAACCAAACCCTTTACTCATTGCTTATCCCTTTTAAAATTGTGCACGAGCAATGGGCATGCAAATAGTTGGGAAGTGCTGCATCAAAATGCACACGTGATCAAATGTTGTAAGCAATTTGTGTAAGATATTGTCCTTAGAAAGGTTTCAATGTACAAAAATTGTGATGACAATGCAATATTTAATTTCAGTGTATTGTAAATTAAATTTTTAGGCAGTTATCACAAGCCATCGGATTTCCCTCTCGTGACTGCAGGCTTATCTTTTCTAATAACCTTTTCAGAAGTGAGATTAGCAGAGTGAAACTGCTCATTGTGCAGCAGCAACCTCTCCTGTGGAGGGCTGTCTTGGTCTTCTCACGGTGATTAACCATGGACAGCGCTTCGCGTGATTGCTTCCGTTTTGAACCCGCAGGTTATCGATCTTTTTTCATCTGGCTAAAAATATTACAGGGTTGGAACGAGAAGGATTTAACCGTGTGCCACATGACGTCTCCAAGGGAACAGAGGTGACACCGGAGAAGCAGGCTGGGGAGCTATTTTAGTGGACAGCCAGTGTCTCATTGAAGAGAGAGCAGATGGCAAGGATGCACGTGCATGGTGAACCATTTTTTGCTCAAAGTTAAGGTGCCTTTGATTCACCTGGAGGGGTCCCACTCACTGGTCACTTAGCATAGCGCTCCTGAGGTAATGGAGGGTACAATGGAGCCTTTCATGTACAATGCCAGGTGAAGGGAAAATGGTGGGGCACTTACTCAAGTTCGGTGGTTCTTTGTGGCTTCCCACACCTCATTTGCATTAAATGCATGTAGTAAAAAACAACAACAACATAGTGTTGTTGAAGTGGTGGATGGCAATAAATGAAATGATAATAAAAGTGCATTGCAGATTATTTTAATTAAGCGTTGTGATCATATTGAATAAAATTCAGTTGTTCGTAAATGTAAAACAATTCTGCGTATCACAAATCTGCATCTGCAAAGATCAGTAAGTAAATAAGACAGCAGAAACAGTTCTCAAGCCACAAGAGATTCGTTTAGTTCGAAGGGAAACTGAAATTGGATTTCGTTCAAATGATCATCTTTGCAGAGATCTAAATGAAGAATGCAACACCTTAAACATGTATGACTCATTAGCTACTGATATGTAATCTTAGAGACAAATAGATAAGACCCTTATTGATTTGACCATGCAGAAAAAAAGTGAGGTAATAGTATATCACTGTTTATTTTGTTTATTGTTCTTTTGTTTATTAAATGACTCAAACACTTCACAACCACTTTCCATGAATCCCTGTGGATTGGTGCCGTGCAAGAATGTGTTATATTTTGTTGACAAAATCTGGATGAAAAAGCTGACAAGAGAAATATTTGTTCTTCTTCTATTCGCCAAGGAAAATTATTAATGTGGTGCTCGGCTTGTTGTTTATGCAGTGGTTGACAAATTTATGGGACCACCACATAAAGTAAAGCCCAAAGAATTGGTCAAATATTTTTTTATCCATTCATCTGTGACGTAACCAATGCAGTGGAGTCCGCTCTGGCAACTGTCCAAGTACAAAGCAGTGTAAATTGGCTTTATGTAGTCATTGATAGCTGTGAGCAAGAGGTAGTCTACTAACTGCACTTTCTCCAGCCAAACAACTTTACTCTGACACTCTCTATGTTAGTAACCTACTAACCTCATGATATAGTGACAGGCCAGCAACCGAAACAAACATGTAGTGAAAAAAGACATTGTTAAAAATTACAGTTCAACATATTGAGCTTTGCTTCAACTGTAGATGTTATCTATCGAGTAATTCTCCGTGTTGTATGCAGGCTCCCTCGATGGATTAGTGTAAGGATCACTGAATTAAGTTCATATTCAAATAAAATAAACAAATAACCCAGAGAGTGATTGAAGCATGAAAATTGAGGAGGACAAGACTTGAGCCAAGTGCAGGTACTGCCATGGCGACTGTTAGAGGTGAAGCCCCCATTAGCAGCAACAGAAAAGAAAACAGCATAAAACATTGAATAAACGACTTCAACTACATCAAATTCTATTTGATTTGGAACGGGAGCGAGGAAGAGCCAAGGCCACAGTGGGTACCATGAGGCAAAGTTTTTAGCAACGAATTCATGAGACCAGTGCTTCTCAAACGCCATGATACAACCAAAAACAATCCCCACCCCCAAGAAGAACTGAATGGATCAAACAATTAAAAAAACAAACAAACAAACAACAAAACAAAAAAAGTTCACTCCTATGGTTCACCAATCCATAGCCAAAGTTCATGAAGCAACTGGACATTTCTTCATATCTTAATCTTATTTTAGTGTTGGTTCAGTGCATTCTTAAGGACAGTTCAGTTGTGTTTAACTTGTAAGTATAATCCAATTGCATTTAATTTTCAAGAACTGAATGTTTTGAAAAAAAAGGTGTAATTTAATGGCATCATTATGTAAGTAGAGTCATCACCCCATATTTTCCATATATTTAAGCACATTGTTCAGGTGATGTTCCTATTGGAATTACAAAAAAAATATACTGTATAGTTCAGTTCTTTTCTGAAACATTTATTTTGTGCAATGAAACACTTTATTCCCCCCATTTTGCTGCTGTAGACTGCAAATTTCCCCAGTGTGGGAGAAATAAAGGTTATCTTATCTTATTGTGCATAATGTTATAGTGTCTTACAACAGTATTTAATAGGAATAACCACTGTCTCATCATGATGGTGGTACTTGGAGAACTTTGCAGTTTTGCTTCGGTGATACTAGTAAAAAGAGAACCACTGGACTCTTCCATGCTGATTGTCATACATACGTGACAGTCGCCCGACCTCGACTCCATTCCCTGGACAGGCGTTAAAATGCTCGTACAATTACGACTTCCGGTTTTTAAGTTTCAACATAAATCATCCTTTGAAACGTTCTGTAAATACGCGCACATAAGCAGTCCTGTGCTAACGTATATTTTAGACGACAAAACATACATTTTAAATATATGTTACTCGAAATTTTTTCCAGGTATTGTTTATTTATTTTTTTATAATATACATTATATTAGTAGATCTTAATTTACACTTTTAATCAAACGTAATTTATTAAAACGACCATGTAGGGTCTTTCATGGTATTAATTCTCCATGGCAATATAATAATTGAAGATATTGCAATCCAAAAACTGAAAATGAACATAGACATTATTTTTAAAACTGAATCGAACAACTTCCGGCGTGGAAAGCACGTCTTGCTGAACTCAGCTCTCACTCGGAGCCGGAGAGGATAGAGTAAAGTCCGAGTGGTTCCTCTCAGACTACGGAAGACAACCGAATACAATTGGCCAGACTATCGTGGCCGTGGAACTTGCTTGAACACATTTTCACGCCACCGCCGTTGCTCCCTTCTCTCTAGACAACAAAACGACTTAAACTCGCTCTGCACCTACGTCAAATAATAGTAACAGTAGCGGTGTAAAAATAATGATAGTAATAAAAAAATAATGAACAAAGGATTGGGTTTGCGTGAAACGTGTACCCAATTGCTCCTGTTTAGCGTTTAGAGTCTCCCACTCTGAAGTGTAGTTTCTCTTCACGAGGCGAGGAATGCTATCTGGGCATCAATGTTTCACTGGGGAAAGTGGAAGAAGAGGATGGGAGCCAATAGTTCTTCAAAGAGACCCGTTTTTGACGAAAAGGAAGATGGTAAGTGATGACAAAATGCTAGAGAAGACTCCTTTCGGAGTTGTAGCTGATAGTGCCTGTTTGTCAATATTTATTTCCTTTACATCGGCTGTCATCGATCTGCTCGTAATTAGCATTAGCTTGAGAGGTTGTTGCTGCCTACACGGGAGTTGTCCAAGTTTCTTTAGAATGAAGAGAAACTGCTCACGTATTGTTTTGTCTTAGAATAATGGCGTTCTGTTTTCCTCTCTGTATATATAATGAAAAGTGCAGCATAACATCCACTCTCCTGGCAATGAAAAATATGCTTGAATGAACCCTTTGAGAGAGGAACTAGTGGAAGACAGAGTTAAGTGCATAATTAAGGCAAGATTAGTGTCATGCATGGAAGTAATGTTAATTCATGATGGCTTGTCAGTGAGAAAAATAAGCCTCTCTGAGGTCCACTGCTGAATCTTGATGATAAAGTACAGAGCTTCAGTGTTCGAGGGAGTTAAAGGGACAACTTGAGTAAATGAGGTCATTTCACCACAGGGACGTGGTCATGTTGCCTCCACAGCTTCCATGACTGCAAGAAGAAATAACCCATTTGCCAGTCATCGTTATTAACTGTGAGGCAATATCCCAATAAATATTTTTACATTCCTAATGGTGATGAAAGTGCAAAAAGAAGTTAACTGCGTTTTAAATGTGAAACGATAAAGATGTCACTCCAGTCATTGCCAAGAATTCTCCTTTTTACCCGGGTCACATGCAATTCTGTGCACTGACAAAGAATGTGAAACAGAAGTCGCTGAATTTGTCAGCTGCATAGGTTGTATCAGACAAGCTGGTTGATGGCTGTGTGAAAGAGAATAGCAGAGAACTGGAGTGTAAATTTTAACACATGAGACTCACATTGCACCCTGTTGAGGTGAAAGTGATTTTATGTCACACCACACACTGGTGCGTACATCGCCATGCATCTCATTTATCTTTTTAAGGAAGATGTGTCACTGGTGAATAAAAGCCATCCTTAGTGTTACCTCTCTGCAAATTTTTCATAATCTCATTTTGTAAAAGGCCTGTGATGGAAGTGTGACGGTACCCTAGCGTATTGAAAAGTGGTGAGGTATTATTGCTGAATTTAAGACATACAAGTGTAAAAAGGGGTTAACTTTTGTACATTCAAAATTCACCAGACTTTTGTACTCACTCTTACCTCTCTTTACAAATGAAGGAGTCACTGCCATGCATGAAGCGGCAGATTGGTGTTTTGGTCCAATTTCTAGACGACATAAGGGACATTCAATGTTTAGAGGGTCGAATTAGCTCTCCCAGGCTGAATTTATACTCCATGTGTCCAGTGACATTTTTTTCCCTTCCTTTGCTGCCCAATTAAGATATGGGTCATGGCATCACTGGAATCAGACTTCTTTCAAATGTTTAAATCAGAAGAATCAGATATCTGCCAGTAAGGGCTGGACGATTATAGAGAAAATAATAATCGGCATTATTGGGATTGAATTGAAATCAGAATTAATAAAAAGATGATTCATTGATTTCAAAACTTCATATTTATTCAACAACTGAAACTCAACTACTCAAAACTATCATCATAGACTCATGCATTCATTCCTGCATGTTGAACATTATTCTTGAAGACAAACCTTTTTTGTCAAGTACAAAATTACCTTTGCATATCATGTGAAATTCACGCAAGCCATTTTCATTCCGCTACATCCACACCTTTGATATCTCACATCTTTGCAAAAATGGAAGCCTTGAATAAGCAGTGCCCTGATGCCTTTATATTTATTGATGTTATTTTCACAAGTCTTGGGGCTAACTGGGCTAACCTGGAATCTTGGGGATTGTATTTCGTGCCACGTCATGAGGAAATGTATGTTTGTACGAGAAAAACAGTCTTTGGATCTTTGCATCCTTGAATTTTGAGGACATGAAATTCTTTGAATCGTTGAAAACTCAACTGTAATGATAACTTGAATGGACAATCAGAAAATAAATGAGTAAAAAAAGTAAAATAAGAATAGAAAAATAGCAAGTGTAAAAACAATAACATGAAATGCTCTCTGCTCCTGCACCATACCGTACCATTTTTTTACTGCTTATACGGGATCGGGTTTCGGAGGCAGCAACATTAGCCCGAAAGCCGACACTTCCCTCTCCCCAGCCACATCTTCCAACCCTTCCAGAGGGATGTCAATGCGTTCCCAGGCCAGCCAGGAGATATAGTCTCTTCAGCATGTCTTGAGTCATCTCCGGGGCCTCTTGCCAGTGGGACATGCCCGAAACACCTCACCAGGGAGGGGTCCAGGAGGCATTCGAATGAGATGCCCGAGCCACCTCATTTGGCTCCTCTCAATGCTGAGAAGTAGCAGCTCAACTCTGAGTCCCTCGTGGATGACTGAGCTTCTCACCATATCTCTAAGGGGGATACAGTGCTAATCACAGCTGAACATTTTTACCCTCTGCAAGGCTAACATTTTAGATGCAGTTCTTGTATCGGTATCATTGTATCTGGTACCTAAGTGATCATAATATTGTGGCGAGTGTTTGTACTGTATATATTATTGCAATGTGATGGCAATGAAATTTTGCACACCACAAATCATTGTTTTTGGACAGAACTTTGTCTGGGGTTATCAGTTTTTTTTTTTTTTTTTTTGTGTACAGGTCTGGGCCAACAATTTGGCCTTGGCAGAGTTCTCTCTCTTGAGTGCTCTTGCTAATTCATTTGCTTTAATTAAGAAGGGGTATATCAGCATTGGAGATTATTTTCTTTTCTCCTTGAAAACTTCAGAAGTGAGGATTCTGCACTGTGTCTCCTTTGAGAAGCAGTAGATTCTCTTTCACCCTGTTTCATCCAGTGCACTGATAATAAACAGTTAGAGGTGCAAAGTGTTGTTGATGCTGTCTTCCGTGCCTGCCTTTTAGGTCTGTTGGAAATCTCTTACAGAAGAGCATGTGATCTACATTTGGTAAAAAATAAAACCTGGGGTGGCAGTAGCTCATCCGAGCTTTGGATCCGGAGGGTCACAGTTTGAGTCTCTGCAAAAAACAAAAAAAACAAAAACAAAAACATTGCAATAAGCGTATTTATGTGAGAAATGCTGATCTTCATCCTGACTGCTTTCAACGTACCCCAGCAATGCATTGAACATCCCTACATCACTCTGATGTGGCTTGTTGCTTGCCTGTTTATATATATGGTCTGGTACTCTGTGGTGTGCAACAAATACTGAAGATACACCAGAGCGTGAATTGAATTTCCATTTAAGGTGCAGGTGTCAAACTCCAGTCATCAAGGATCACTATCCTGCATGTTTTAGATCAGGGGTGCCCATTACCTCGATCGCGATCGACCGGTAGCTTGCGATCGACCTTGTCAATCGCCAGGGCTGTAGAGGAAAAAAAAACAAACATGTTCTTGTGTCAATGCATGTTAGTAATATATTTTTGTGTTCATGCACACTGGACCCTAATCATCCCATCAGTCTCACTTTCACAAAAAGTATTAAATAAATAAAATAAAATAAAGGAGGTCATCTTTTAACCTACAGTGGCGCATGACCTGCGTCACCGGAAGTTGTTATCGCTCAGCATTCTGCAATTGCAGCTTGTGAGGAGAGCTGTTGCAGTTTATCTTTTATCATTATCATTATTCTCATTCAGAGTTTGTTTCATGTACAACTCACTGAGGGAACGGGCAAAGAATGGGAATCTGGAGGGCCGAGAGAAGCATTTCAAAACGGTACGCGTGAGCTACGATAGTTAACAGGCTGCAAAAGTGCGTCGTCCCATGCCCCTGCGTCAACCTGTTGCTCATCATGGCATGCGTGGGTAAATGCGTGTGTGTGCGCGCGTGCGCTGCGGCGCATCAATCGCGGGAGGTTGGTTGATCGAAAAGTAGATCTTCAGTCAAAAAAGTTTGGGCACCCCTGTTTTAGATGTTTCCCTCCCTCCATTTGTATGAAAAATATTGGAGCATAGAGCAAACATTATGAAGTCGTCAAGGTCAAGTAATTCCGAAAATTCTCCAGTGTGAAAAGATTAAAGGCATATTCTAGTCTATTTCATTCTATTTTAAGAATGACTTGTACCGAGGTACTATCAAAGCTGTAACAGGAGGTGTTTTAGTTTTTCTTTGGCTTTTTTTTTTTTTTTACATTGTCAAACGGATAGGCAACCCCCCCCCCCCCCCCCCCCCCATCAATACTTTTGTTATAGATCACGTCACTTCCAGTGCAGGTTAATAACTTTACAATGTCACTTAAAAGATTGCCTGTACAGATAATAAAGGTGTTGTAATGTCAACAGTTTGACCTTGGAGCAGATCTTTTTACGTGGATGTCTCTGATGATTGGCATCCTGGATCAAATTGTGTTCAGTCTCAGAGGTTGTGTTGGACGCAGCTGTATTACTAGTTTGCTTTTTTTTTTTCTCATTGTAACCTTTTTATATAAATACTTGGTTAAGGTTTCTGCAACAATGTTGAACACATGCTAGTTAAACAGGAGGGAACACTTTTTATATTTTCTTGGTCAGAGCCAGTTTGTGTTTTTTGACAGCTAATCTTGGATTTGTTTCATTACATTTTCTAATAAAGTTCCCCGCTGCAGCTTTTGTATTGCTCCCTTGAATGGCATACAGTGCATTGTTAAAACGCACATGTGATCAGGGTGCTCTGTGTGTGTGTGTGTGTGTGTGTGTGTGTGTGTGTGTGTGTGTGTGTGTGCGTGTGCGTGTGCGTGTGCGTGTGTGTCTGTGTGTGTGTGTGTGTGTGTGTCTGTATAGACTTAATTGTATTATTATTTGTGTATTTTTGATAGTCCTTGTTAAAGGCAAAGTTTCCACTTATGTGGACAATAAGCTTCCATTCTTGGTTTGTGCACTTGTGCACGCGTGCGTCTGCCTGAATGTCTGAGTGTGCGTGACTGCTCTTCCCGTCAAGGATAAGTGTATGAGGCAATGAAAGCAGATTTTGTTGAGGATAAAGATAGCTGCAGAGAGATGGCTGA